CCCCACCAGCCTCAAAAAAGGGGAAAAGCCAGCAACCAGATTCCCCCAAACTGGAGACTTGTTCTTACAACTGCTTTCAGTTAATGCACTCAAAGTTCTTTGCAACCAAAAATAACTAGTGAAATATTTACTGGAAAGAGAAAGTAAGCGGAGCTCCCGCTGCAGGCACCGAGGTATTGCAGAGAGGCAGAGCAGCGGGGAGACGGTTTTGCTGCCTTTTCCACCGCTGCTTTGCTTTCTTTGAATTCACATTTTGTGGTTTTCAAGTGAACATTCGTCAACCTTTAGAAATGATAGTTTAGTGGTGTTATGATTTCTTAATTAGCATTACCATAGAATTGCCAGAAATGTTTTTTTTTTCAGGTAGAAAAAGCTTTTGGTTTATTTTTTAAGCCTATATTCAAGTGGTTGCAGTATATCTCACCTTACCTGTAATACTCATACCAGTCTGGAAGAACCAAAGTCCTATAGCCTTATGTAGAATTATCATCAATGCAAAGGTCTTCCAAAATATCAAACAACTCCCCCTCCACCCCAAGAAAACTTTTTTGAGCCTTCTGCATAATTAAAGCAGAATGAAAGAGGGAAATAAACCCCAAGAAACTGAAGAAATGATAGTTTGTTGTTGTAAAGCCGTAACCCTGGGCTCAGCTCAGAGTTACACATCGTACGATCGTTGTTCCAACTGGGCAAGTAACAGGGAAGTGAGAGCTCTCTAATGAATGTAGTTCTTGTCAAGAGAAGGCATAAAGCGCATGCTGTGCCCCAGAAAAATACTTATTTATTTCCAAGGTCAGGGTCTGAGACCATATCAAAACACAACAAGTGCTGTCATAACCTAGAGACATTTCTGGACAAACCACAGAGAACCCCCCCAAACGCAGTATTTCCCCCTTTGGATGCATCAGTTTTTGGCTTTTGTACCTGTAAAACCTTTTTGTCTCAAGATGTAAAGACAACCCAAGTACACGTAGTGGTAACATAAAAAGAGATCCTTCAGATTTGAAAGGTTTTCACCTTTGGTCTGTATCAGACCTCACAAGAAATAGCTTTACAATGTTGTTTATATGAACACACGCATGATGTCCTACCTGTTCAGACTGCTAGTGACATTCATCATACACCTTCTATGAGAAAAAGAAAAGGTAAAGATGCAAAAATGACAGTCTCAAACTTCACAGGGTTTTTCTTTTGACCTGTTTGATGGACTTGTGGAGAATGAAACATGTATGAAGCAGAAAGAATGGGCTTCATGAATTGCAGAATCTGATTTTAAAGTGTGCTTTTTACCTGCAGTAATTTTCTGTACTAACAAATGGTGGGTCTGAATCAAGCTGCCAGCTGGCTGTCTTGAAGGTTTCTTGGGGTGCCAGGAGGAGGAAATAAAAGGACTGTAAACAGGATATTTGTGCACCATCGGAAGTAATACGTATTTTTAGAACAGATAGGACAGGGGATAGATCTACAATAAGAGGCAAATTGGAGCAAACTCTTGTCAGCTGCTCTGCTGAACCCCACCTCATCCCTCTGAGAATAACAGAGTTACACAAGTGACAGCTGCTGTAGGTTTGCTTGGACCATCCCTATTAAACAAGAGAATATTCTCAATATTCCCACATTAAACAGGCTGTATATTCCGTTAAGGTACCACTTCTGACAACAGCTAGATACGTTCCTCCCCTTGTCTCCTGCTGCCTGTTTCAGATACAGGATGTAAAGCTTTGGCTTGCCTGAAAAACAGAACTATAAAGTGGTTTTCTTTATAGTTACTTAACTCAGCATTTTAAAATGTATTGCTAGGGTTTTTTTTCCTACCAGGGCAATAACAGCGGTGTACAGCGGTGAACATGGTGTACAAGAGCATCCCACTGCTTTAATCCTTAGTGAAAAGGAAGGAAAGCGAGTTTTACATTCAGAAGACTAAATCTGCAGAATTTAAAGCACATGGCTGAGTTTCAAAGCAGCTTGTCAGCTTGTTTAAACACCGCAGTGTTAGATAGGTAAACAACACAGGCCTATATTTTAAAGACCCTTCGTCTGCTAGACAATTGCTGGCAGGCAATTCCCATAGACTTACACACCAGAAAAACTGGTATTTGACCTTACGGCTGCCTGATGCAGAGCAGGGAGAAAAAAGAATTGAGCGATTTGAGCATCTTTTCTCCTGTGTAACAAGGATCTGGGTCAGGCTGCTGGCAACTACCACTTATGTCAGTAGTAAAGGTAAAGCGTTTCAAAGCCGCCTTTCAAACCTGCTGCGTCAGGCTGTGTTTTGAGGAACAGCTAAAATCCTGGACTGTGTACAGATTGAAGAGGGGTTTTCATCGACCTTCCAGACACATGGCTATGTAAGGTTTCGAAGGATACCCAATCCCTTCCAAACCTCCCCAGTTAGGACCCAGACATGAAACCTGGACCAGGAGAGCCTGGCACACCTGGTTTTTACACAGTGCAGAAGAAAAGGATCTACTTATGGAGGTTACATTTCAGTATAAACAAAAATTGGTCCTGATGGAGATAACACGCAGTCTCTTTCTTTACTGAAAGGCAGTTAAAAGCCAAGAATTTAATGCATGAGGCTGAGGGTTAAGCTAAAAGACACAGCTATTCTTGTTGGAGCCCATGTGTGCTTTTGAATCCAACTTTCTTGCTTAAGGGCATTTCAACTTGTAGGTGAGACCTTCGCTCATTTAGATTACCATGTATTCAAAGAAAGTGCACCTTTGAGATATTACTAGTACCTTTTTCATAAATCTCAATGTTTGGTATCTTTTTAGGTCATTTCACAATAAAGTTCATTTCACCATTAATCTAGTAGGTAAAACAGAGATGGGTGCAAGAGCACAAAGGGGTGCAAGGAACATTTTGCTCTCCTGCCCAGCCCCTTCCCTCCTCTGTCCGTCTGTCCCTGAAGCCCTGTACAGCTGGCATAATGAAGTGTCTGCTTACATGTGCCCTAGAGAAAGCCCCAGTGTGGGCTGGATCTCTTTTGTCATTGCCACACAATCAACAGCAATCAGATAAGGGCGTATCTGCTTCTGGTTGGAACATTTGCTAATAGCACCACAAACGCGTAACTCAAAATGCAACTAAAACCAAGGAAGAATTTACTAACCTGGGTGAAGCTGCATATGAAAATCACAGGGAATTGTGGTAGTTGAAGGCACACACACCAAACCCCACACAAAGCAGCCCTGGACTGCCCCAGCCTGCAGAGAGCACGACCCCTCCCCGACAGGAGAGACCTCATAGCTCCAAGTCATCTTTTTGGATGTCATAGGAGTCGAGTCATTTGAAAGTCATCTTTCTGAGAAGTGAGATCTGGGGATCCTCCCTTCCTGCTGTTTTGCTTTACATCCAATTACTCTGTAAGGAGCAAAAGCGAGGTGCTGCCTGCTCTCTGGGTCACAGCACTGGTTTTTGTAAAAAGGCACTCCCAGGTGAGGGCAGAACTTGCACCTTCCATCTGGCAAAGCTGTGCCTAATTCATCTTTCTCAGCACTTGACATTTTACCAGCTGACTCCCTGACAGCCTGCGTGCAAAAACAATTGTCAGCACGAGCTTTTCCAGCAGGAAAACATATGGAAAACATTTGATTTTCAAAAATCAGATCAGTTTGCGTCCCAGATTGTCTTGATTCCATGCTTGCTTCTCCAGTTTATTTGTTTATATGTTGCCATTTCAACCTTTAACACAAGCTTGTTCAGTTACATGTTTGCTGTTGAAACTACATTGTCAGAGGATCACTTTCTGGAAAGGATCCTACTCTTCACAAGGGTTTAACCTCTCTAAATTACTCCATAGTTGCAGCTATTAAGATGATTCTTCGATTACAAGAGGATTACAAGCTTTGTTTCTTATTTGGTTTGCTGTATTTTACAAGGCAAAGGTCTTTCTCTTAATTATCCATCTTTGCTCCACATTTCTGAGATGTACTGACTGCCATTCCAACATTCCCACTCACAAACCCTTCTCACTCCAGTGAGGGAGACTTTCCAATGGCTTATTCTCACAGGCCTTAAAAACAAGGCTCAGATTAGCAATAAGAGAACGTCAAGACAGTTCAGCAAGCACTGATTTCCAACAGACAGCGTGATTACTCCAGCTCTGCACTTCTCTAAAGCTTGCTGAATTGGGCCAAAATCTATGAGAGTGTATTTTATGAGATTTCCCAAATTCCTCGTTTTGACCCCTGACAAAGAGTAGAAATGAAATTAAACTCTCGGTACAACTTAGAGGAGTCCTTTTTGCAAACGTTTTACATTTTTAAGTAATTTTACATTTTGAAAGTAATACCATTTTTGCAGAAGTTTAAGGAAGAAAAAGTGCAACATTTTCCAAAAGTGGCAAACATAACTTTTGAAAGTGCTTTGAAAAACCATTTCTGAAATACAACATTTCAGTTTTTCACTTTGAAAAACATGTGAGGATGCCTCTATTCTCAAGTAGAAAAAAGACAAAGTAGTACTTTTATTAGTATAAGGTTTGGGGTTTTTTTTAATACCTTTGCATCAAAAAAAGGTTGAAAACCTGTAGAACTTTCATTTCTGCACAGTTAAAAGCAAACACTAAATCTTTCAACTTCTTTCTCCTCCTGTCACCAGTTCAGGTGAACATTTCAGACTGTTTGATTCTATACCTGGGCAATATCATGGGTTCGTGATTTAATTTCTTTCCAGTTGCACTGGGTCAATTCCATCTCAAATTTTAAAGAAAAACTTTACTAAGCAGAAAGTTGGAATTAGCGATCACTTGCCTTCCAATAAGAGGACTGGGGAGCAATGAGGAATGGAAAGCAAAGGCAGAGCATAGTAACTGCTCTGTTCAACTTTGAAAAAGTAATAATAGTGGAATTTATAAGGACTACCTTGAAAACTAATTACTGGCCTTGTTTGCACATCCATTCATTTGGGAAGGAAAGAGTATGTGTTCTCCTGCATGGCCACTTTAGGTGATAGGAGGTGCCAAGACTGATGGTGTCTGTTTCTCTCTCCTTTAGGATGAAAGGATTTGTGATGGAGATGTGGTAGCAAGGTGTTAAGCAACCTTCCTGGAATGTGTTTCTTCAGGAAGAAGAGAGAGCACTGCCTTTTTTTATGGATGTCACTGAAGTAGACTTTGAAGTTCTTTGGAAGCACATCCCAAACTTGGCATGGGAAACCACAGCAACAATCATACCTGTTTGACAGATGATTCCTTTAAGTACAATTTGTATGGAGCCGTCTACAGCGTGGTCTTCATCCTTGGTTTGATTACTAACTGTGCCTCCCTCTTTGTTTTCTGCTTTCGGATGAAAATGCGAAGCGAAACAGCCATTTTCATGACAAACCTGGCTGTTTCAGATTTACTGTTTGTGTTCACTTTGCCTTTTAAAATTTTTTATAACTTCAACAGGCATTGGCCTTTCGGAGATAGCCTGTGCAAGATTTCTGGTACAGCATTTCTCACTAACATCTACGGGAGCATGCTGTTCCTCACCTGCATTAGCGTTGACCGTTTCCTTGCTATCGTCTATCCATTCCGATCTCGCACCATTAGGACCAGGAGAAATTCTGCCATAGTCTGTGCTGGTGTTTGGACACTGGTCCTCAGCGGCGGGATTTCAGCTTCGTTGTTCTCCACAACCAACATTTCCAACACCAGCACAACCTGTTTTGAAGGTTTTTCCAAACGTATCTGGAAAACCTATCTGTCTAAGATCACTATATTTATTGAAGTGGTAGGATTCATAATTCCTTTGCTGCTCAACCTTACATGCTCTTCTCTAGTTCTCAGGACTCTCCGGAAACCTGCCACCTTGTCTCAGATTGGGACAAACAAAGAGAAAGTATTGAAAATGATCATTGTGCACGTGGCCATTTTTGTCGTGTGCTTTGTGCCTTACAATTCCATACTCTTCTTGTATGCTCTGGTGCGGTCCCAAGCGATAGCAAATTGCTCCTTGGAGAGGTTTGCGAGGACAATGTACCCAATCACATTGTGCATTGCAACAATGAACTGCTGCTTTGACCCATTCATCTATTATTTTACATCAGAATCTTTCCAGAAGTCTTTCAACATAAAAACCCAGATAAAAATGGATTCTCTTTTCAAGACTGAGACACCTCTAACAAAGACTGCACTACCAGCACCACAGGATGAAATAAGTGACCAGGCTATTACGAATGGAGGAGACCCAACATCTGAATCGCATTTCTAGCGAGATGTTTACACATGGAGTTATCCCCCATTAACTTTTGATTAACACCATGTGTGAAATAGTTGTTTCAGAATATGTGGGTTGACACATGGTGTTAATGAAGAAAACTTGCTGGAGGATAACTAGACAGGTAAACAAAATCTGGATACTAGGATGGTCCCATCAGATGCAACAGGCAAACATGAAATACAAAAATCCAGATGGATCTCCCTTTGGAGATTATGGATGGGTGACAACATATGTGCTAAGGAGGGAACAGGACAGCTTCCTTAATCAGAAGATGCCAACATTTGGCATTTTTTCTCCCCAGCAGCTGACATAGGACCAGTTGGGAAATAGAAAATTTAATTTTCTTAGAGATACCTGCCAATATTTCATGCCTTCTGGAGATGCATCATCATATGTTAACTCAATAACTTCACACAATATGTATGTTTGCTTAAAAAGGCATAATAAAAGCTTTTGGCTTTTCCTTATTTCACTGCAAGAGCATACATCCTGGTTTTACTAGATACAAGCATGTTGAATTCATTGTATGAATAGGTTGGAAGTGTAAATAATTGTTTTGAAAGAAGGCAAAACAGTTGCTTGGTGATAGAAGAGAAAATAAGAGACAAGAATAATTAATAATGCAGTTTTGAAATAAGAAGCTTCATTTTTGTCAGATTAAGCTGTCTTTTAATTTATTTTAAATGCCACCTCTAGGGAGAAGTAAAGAGCACATTACTGCTCTGTTGCACCTGAGGTTTTATGCCCCAGAGGTTATTTATACATGGCTGTTTCTGGTAAGGGCTAGACTATAAAGTCCACTGAAAGAAAGTGCCTGAAACCCCAGAGTTCTTGCAAGGCCGAATCTCTTATATGAAAATTGTGTGGAGCTGAAGGGGTGGAGAACAACAGAGTGCTGACCTTTCTAAAGAGCTTGTTCAGATACAGACAGTTGGGTGTCAGAGTATTAACAAAAGATCTTCTAAATGATTGCTGGCTGGTTTTTGCTACGCAGTCAACTAATTAGAGGATCTTAAAGGAGCTCCAAAAGAATAGTGAGTAAAACCAGTTAGCTGCACTTTTTTCTTAGTTACAGCAGTGTTTTCTTGTTTTTCACTTAATTTATTACAGATCCCGCATTCCCTGTTATAGATATGGTTTATATAGATCTATGGAAAGTTAACTATCTGTATGGCATTGCATTTTACTCCAGCCATCCTTTCGTATTTGAAGCTATACTGACCTTAACAGGCTAATTCATTCTTAACTGTTAGACACATAAATGAGAAAAACAATGTAACTTGAAAAAGTATGAAGTTATGAGTTTTTAGATCAGTAATCTACATTTTCCACAGTACAGCATAAAGCTATTTCTGGGCCTACATTGCCAAAAAAAAAGAAACAGACAAAATATTAATTGAACAGATATTTTCCACTCAACTATTTATCTTGTGTCACTCAGATCGAGCCCCATGAGATACTGAGAGCTACACATCAAATGTGATCACTACTTAAAGCTATCTGAGGTTTGTAAAGTTTGAAAATAATTCAGCTGCAAAAAAAAAAAATATATGTTATGCTTTGAAGGGAATATTTATTTAGCACTACATTCACTTTGAACAAAAGAGTCAGTTGCTTACCAAGGCTAAGACAGACCCCACAGATCATTCTATTTTAACCCGAAAATGACTGTTGCTTGTTTAGTGTCCCCGGTTTTGGCTTTTACAGCAGGAAAGTATGTGATCAACTCATTACACACAGGGAGTATGAGAGCAGCCAAACTATTACACCTCAGATTTAAGTCACAGATACATTTACTAGAAACTTGCACACAAGACTGGCTTGGGAGGTTTTTGCTTTCTGTTAAACCCTGGGACAACAGCACTTTAGAGCAGAAACAGAACATGAAAACGAGGACAGATCACTCAGAGCAGTTGGTGGAATGAGACACATGTGGTAGGACAAGGGCACAGTCAATTACAGTGAATTTGTCAGCAGCTGGGAAAGGTTTACCTTAAACAGAAGCAATGAGCTGTGTTTTAAGAAACATCAGCATTTGCCAGTTAACCATAGGCAAAGTGAGAGCCAGTGCCATGCCCCTTTCCTTCCCGTGCAGGCCTGAACCAAACTGTTTAGAGGGCTTTTTAAAATTGGTATTTCCTTTGGCTGATGAGCCTGTTTCAACACTTGCTATAAAATGTATATATTTCAGAGAAGTTGTTTCCATAACTTCAGATCAAAATGCAAAGGGAGCCAAAAGGGATTTTACAGGCTTCGATACAGGCAGGGTTTTCCACATGCAGCAAACGGCCCCTCACACCGCAGCGCTGTCAGTGGAAGAAGAGGAGGTTGTGAAAAAACCATCAACAACTCTAACATGCCCTAAGCTGTGTGAGAGAGGTGAGACATCCCAGTTCCACTGCCATTAACTGGTTCTTAAAAATTGTACCTAATGAGACAAGAGCTCCGCTTTCAGGGATGGGAGAGAGAAGGAATAAGAGTAGGAAAGATACACTAAAAAGCTGAGGGTGCATTTCAAACCCTCTTCCTCTTTACAAGAAAAATATATGGTAAATGAGTAAGTGCTCTTCTCCAAGGCAAAACCCCTTATTAATTCAGTTTTACTTACTTGAGAAACTTATTTACATGCCAGCTTGCCCTCAATGGGCAACCTTTTAACTCTCAGCTTGTAAATCTTACTTAAAGCTGCTTCTTTCCACTTGCCAGCAAGAAGCAGAAGGATAAGAATCCTGAGTTACGTGGGGTTTGGAAGCTTCTTGGGATAGGGCTGTTCTTACACATGGTGGCTGCTCAGCCACCCCAGGGTGAGCAAGAACAGAATTTGGTCCAGCATCTCAGAGCTGACAGCAGAGGAATATCTCATTTGTAAGAATCCTGGAAGACCTTCTGCTCTCTGCTCCGCAGACCTTCCTCTAGTTAAATCAAAGGGAAGAAAAAAAAAAACCTACCCTAGAAACCACTGTCTAGCCTTCTTAAGGAAATGTTAAAAGAGAGAAGGGAAAGAACTGCGTGTGACTGGACAACCTCCAGGCTGTACATACATAGCTTAACTGTAATCCGAGCATAATGGGTGTCTTTTTCTAAGCGAAACTAGTGCCAATGCTTACAAATTTCTGTTTGCAGTTTTATAGGGCAAGAGCTGTGGTCGATATTCTCACATAAAATGTAATACTATCATCATGTGCCAAAACCCTAACTGAAAAGATTCATTATTTTGTAATTTAATACCTTATAAATTACATGGAGATCATATGTTGACTGACACTCACATCTGGTAGGATAGTTCTTGACTAATCTTTTTTTTCTAGGTCAGGTATACCAAGTAAATGCTGCATGGTTTGTGTATAAATAACCAATTATGCATTCAGGGAGAGGAAAAGTAATTTTTAAGATGTTCGTAAAGCCAAGCTGGAAGGAACGATGTTGGTAAAAGAAAAGTAGATTCACAGTGACTCTGGCTGAGGTGCAGCTGAGTGTTTCTTCTCCCTATCTGACAAAGGGCTATTGTCAGCAAACAGCACACACCAGAATTAGGAGTTTAAAAACAAAAATCAAATTAATTAGAAGTCAATGCCTTTAGCTAGCTGAAGCTGAGAGACAGGGCCCAGCAATCCTCTAAGATGCTGAACATGTAGCATTAATCAAGGATTTCATTGCTCCCAGCCAGCTCACTTTTCATATTCCCCGGTTCTCCGTATGGGATTCATTCACTATAAATAAGCTCACCACACGCTTTGCAACTCATTGCCCTGCTGGGAAGATGAAGCTCTGGAAAGCAATATGAAAACCTCTCTGCCCAAACCCACCTTTGTATTATGCACACCCATGCAAGACACCACACCAGGCTGAGTGTTCACGGTAGATGTTATGACAGGAGGAAGCAGGGCCTTGTATTACAGTCATCATGAAAGCCCCTCCTCTTACACTAGGCTTTTCTTAGTAACTCAACAGGCTCTACATCAGGTGAAAGGTGCCAAGTGTTCCTGGAACAGCATAAAACTTCTCCAGCTTTGCAGAATCAGTGCAAACCACTCAGGCTTAAGTCTATGAAATGAAAGGGCAAGGAGGTAGCACAAGTCACACATAAGAGTTGTGTAAGAAGGAGGAAAAGTTCCTGTGCTGCATGTGCAAGTATACAGCTGCTCATCAGACAGCAAGGCTCTGTTCCTCCTCAGGTTGCTTATCATGGACCTGCTGCATGGATTCAGCCTCTAGGTCCTTCCAAAAGTACCCCCGTGACAGTTGTAGGAAGCTCTCCCTGTGGTGCTGCAGGGGTGATGGGGTGAGACTGTGCTCTCCCTTCTTGCCCTCTACCCAGCAAAAAAATGCTCCGTAACCCAGAGAAGTCTTCCCTCTGACAAACAGCTGGTGAAGGAAAAGGGGACCAATCACTTTGATAAGATTATACAACACCCCGATGATCTTGAAGGCCAGTGTCCCTAAAGAGCTCTCTGTTAACACTCCACATCATTCCCAGTGCATGGATTTGCTGTAAAACAGGCAGGAAATTACCATCTCAGAAATGCTGTGTCAGAATACGAACAGCAACACACAACTGTCCCTGTGAAAGCACGTCTATGCAGTGTTCTATTTGGAGAAAGCAAAAATGGGAGGTGTGAGGGAACCGAGGGGGAACAGCCAAGGCTGTTTCCACAGCACACCATGGAGCACAGCATGGAGACACTTAAATGATCATCAGCCCAGGCTGCAAAGTCCAAGCAGAGCAGGCAGAAGGATACAGCACCACGAGGCTCTGCTCAGCAGCTGGTGACACAAAGGTGACCATCCTGCAGAGAGGGTCAGGAGAGCCACTCCGTGCCTCTCCACCAGTGTGGGACACTGAAAGGCTGGATGGGTCTGGCTGCACTTGCCGAACAAACATAACCCCAAGCACAGGATAACCCAAAAGCTTTGCTGCATCTGAAAGGACAGACTGCAAATAGTTCTTTGGGTAGGATTTAAGAACAGAAACAAAACAGTCCTCATTTCAGTAAGCAGATTATGTTGCTCAGCATTAATTTAAGAAAGAGGCAGAGCTATTCTTTATAAGATTAGAAGTCCAAGCCCTGTTCTCCCCTCTAATGCCGGAAAAGCTCTAATTTTAGCTTCTGGGTGCTGACCTCAAGCTTACCCCAAGAGTTCTGTCTGGGTTTGAGCTGTGCATTCGCTCCCTGGCACACTCCTAAGGACCATAACTCATCATAACTTCATTCCCAAGTTGCTGTGCTACAGAGACATCATGTTTAGAAAACTCAGTTTGTGGGATATTCAAGATGATGCACTTAAAGACCCTAGATAGTGAGGAAGATCTACTCAAAACACCGTTTTTTACTCCCCACAGCAGTGGTCACAGACCCTTTTCTCTTGGTACCAATTCCAGCTCCTGAATTCTTCTGTTTTGTGTTTGTCCTATCAATATCTAGGTATATTCTGAAAGGTTTCTTCTACCCCTTGCCATGCTTTTTGCTGTAAAAGTGCAACGTTGTGAGCTTGCACCAACAGAAGTGTGTAAGTTTGCCAGGCAGAGCTGTAGATAAGGGTCAATGTGGCCACGTGTGAAGGGCTGTGCCTGCCAGGTTCCTCCTGGGGAAAAGGGCTGGTTGAGTTTTGGACCCTGCTGGGGTGGGAGAAAGGGAGAAAATGGTCAGTCTTAAACTTCTCATTTAACACAATGATTTTAACCTCTATAAAATGAGCAAATTTCACTGCAAAGAATAGCATAGCACTAATCTTGTGTTTTCGGTTGTTTTTTTTTTTCACTCATGGAAACTGTCACTTCAAAATAATGTTTTACCCTGCTGGCTGTTCTCAGTTTTAATTCTTAAATTTAACTTCCATGTAAAAACAACAGGACAGTCACATACCTAAAGCACTGGGACAAGCAAAGAGTGAGGTGGTTTCTCTTTAGGATCACTGTGCATATGTTTTCCCAGAATACTTAACTGCCCAGTACCCAAGAAAAGCCTGCACTAGCTTTTCTCTGCCTGGGGGGACTCTGACCAATGTAAATATTGTATAGAACTTAACAAGGCACATGTTTTGCACTGTTAGCTCTTTTATGTATCTGTGTGTGTGCATAATGCAAAAGGAAAGTTTTTTCCGGAAAAACAGTATGTGTGAGTGTGCTCATTTACTCTGACTTCTATAAATATACATATTAACTGGGATAATATTTAAACCTAAGTTTTTCTGTAGACCTCTTAAGAAACTTTGAGTACATCCAGCACACATGGAGAATTTTCCTGAAAACCGTAAGCATGGGAAACTGGTCATTCCTTTTTGTTGTTCTATAAAAATCCCCCAACTTCTTCTGAAGCAGTGCAGCAACCTCCATCGACTCTACAGTCACAGAATTCTTCCTTGGAACCCATTCACTAGGTCACTTCTGGATGTCAGCATCCTCAGACCACGACTGATAGATAAGACTGGAGCAGTTACCGCTGAAGCTATTTTAATAAATTTGTTTCCCTAAGTTCCCCTCTCTCCCTCTGGCACAGGATGACAAAAGTCAGAGCCTGGGCTGCCAAAATACCTTCTGCCCCTGGATGTGCCTCCCACAGCTGCCCTCCCTTCATCTGCAGTCCTTCTTTCACCCTCACATTTCCTACTTCTCATGCCTTGCTGGAAGGAGTTTATATACTATTACAACACACCCAAATAAAAAAAAAAGTGAGGGTGGATATCTTCTCTAAGGGAAAAGGAAAAGCATCTTTCTAGACTTGGTGTTTTGGCTGTTACACATTAATTTCAAGCTCAACTGTGGCACAAAGTTTGTGCTTTCACACTAATGGAATAAAGTTTATCTTGAAATACCTTTTGACTACCAGAAGGACTGTGCTGCTTCCAAAGATGGCATCAAGCTGTGTTGTCTCTGGAAGTGAGACAGCAGAAAAGCCACCTCAGCAAAAGTAATCATTGAGATCTTACCATATGGCACACTTGAACAACACTGATGTAGCAGCTGACAGGCAATGGAGATGTTATTTCATATGCTAAATCAATATTAGCTGCATTAGGGAGTTGGGGAAAGTGCTTTAACCAGAGACATCCCACGGCACAGCATCAGATGAGCACATTAGAATACCACAGGGAGGATTGCTTTCTACTGCACAACTGTAGTCTTGGGTTAGAAATACTTCTATAAATTTTACAGAAGTCGCACAAGTTAAAAAAAATTATCCTAGGTTCTAATAGTGACATTCTGTCTTTATTAACATTACAAATTCTAGCATGTTCTGTCACTGTCCGTTACAGCCTTGTGCAGAACCTGTACAGTAACACACTCACAACCTGGACTGAAAAACCACCACAATAAAGTCTTGTGTAAGCACAGAACATGATTCAGCGAGGTCAGATGCTGCCCACACTGCTCCTAGTATGGTGGTAAAGACATTTTAGCAAGAGAATATTTTCCGGTATAAATAGCACAATCAGCACCCTTCATACAGAGCTTGAGGTAACAGTGGAGTTGAAATTCACTCACTCAACTGTAGAGCTATCAGAAGAGAAACAAGATTTCCTGCACATGAGCAATATCAAGTAGACAAAATGACTTAAAACCAGTAAAAAGCCAGGCATGTAACTACCTGACTGCAACCACGCTCAGGAAGTCGTTTGAAAAGACCAGGATTCGTTTTCAGATTTGTGCAGGAAAACGGTTCAGATTTATCAAAGGACAAATTTCAGTTTCAAGTCCAACAATCACATCCTGCTAAATGGTCTTCTCTCAGTAATATCTGGAGAAGGCATTTTCTGTTTCTGGCCCTCAGTTACGCTGTTTTCACTGCTGGCAGCGGTCACTTGGCACACATGCAGCTAGGAGGCCACAGAGCAAGGGGCCAAGGGTTCCGATTTAAATTCCTCCACTAACTTAAAGATTTTGCATTTCAAATTATATAATTTGACATTAATCTTCTCTCAGCATTGCTCGTGAGAACAATTTTGTGTTTTCCAACCCCACTCCCACTTGCGCGTGTGAAAGAAGACATATGTTTGATAGAGCCATCCCAACCCAAGAGAAAGGGGAATACTGGCGAGACCAATTTGTCATGATGTCACCAAGCCATAAATACGGTTGCCCTTTGGCAGTTCAGATTTCTGTTTCTTATTTTCCTATATTATCTCATCAGCATAAACTAGCATAGCAGCTAGCGATCTCAGAAATGAGGATGGAGGAGGTACATGTAAGACACTGTCATGCATCAGCCACTCATTTTCCCAACTACTTATTCTGCAACCCCCCCTTTAAACGCAATTCACGTTGGTTAATTGATGCTTTCTGAAAACAGGGTTCACAGTTCAATTGTCCCTCTTTTTTTTTTTTTGAAGGGTGGATGACAATGAAACTGATTTTGGAGGCTGACTCCCACTCTTCTCCATCTCTTCCAGCACCCTGGAGCTGGGCAACAACTGCTTCGGAGGTCACATTGTCTACCAGATCACTGCCAATGATCTGGTTTAAATATAACTCTTATTTCCACCACCTCCCCCCAAAATTAAGTTCTATTTTTAACATGGATCATTTAACCAGGTTCCTGTTAACAACCCTATCCCACAAATGGTTGTGCTGGTACAACTGAGGGGACATGGTCCATGGGAGTAGGAAAACAGAAACTTACAAAGCCAAATTTACAGCTTCAGTCAGAGCATCACAGAGCCCCTTTCCAATAACAAAGGGTAGGTTTATTGTGGAAGTGGATTTTAATTTTCTACTTGATTTCCATGGATTTGGGTTTTCCAAGATTTCCAAGTCTTAAATACAACACCTGAACATTTAAACTCCCTAGATGCTAAGACCACCACCACACCAAAGCCATCCTTTGAGGTCAGAACAAAGGCAGCAAACCTGTAGTTCAGAGGGGAATTATCAAGGGTGATTCAAACACAATTTCACTGTTCAATATGGAAGCAAACACATTGTACACATCATTTACGCCGCATAACCTAGCTGGTTGCATACATCCCCCAGCAAACACTCACCTTCCTTACTTTGAAAGCCTGACTCATGCACCATTTTTATTTAGTTATCTTAACCTGTTTGGGTTTGCAGTCCAACTCTTGTAACATCAGAGTACCTTCTGCTGATAGAGCAACATGCCCTTGGGAAAAAAAATTACACAATACTGTTAAAAGCATTCTTTGGAGTTATGGGGAAGGCTGCAGTTGAGGAGCGCCAATTATCACTTTATTCCTGTTAGAGAAAGCAGGACAGTTTGAGTGTGCCCATCAGTCACAAGGCCAAAGATGGAAAAAAACCCACATAAATCAGGATAACCACTGTCAAGCAGTGAGAACAATTGCCTGAGTTCTTGAGGAGTCCTTGTATGTGACAGACTGCCATGGCCTTGAGCCAGACTTTGATGCAAAAACTGCAGGACTGGATGTTTTGGCTATTCAGGATGTTAAAAATCACATGTGGATTTGTCTGACACCAAAATCTCAGACTTTGTGTGATCTAATGCTTTAACAAAGGGCTCAAGGACAAGCTACAGTAAGAAACTCACAATGAGTAAAGTTCTTTAACAAGCTCATATACTTACTAAACTATGAACTCGTAACAGACCCTTCAGTACATAAATCACTGAAAGTTAAGCCAATATAAGCCTGCTATAAGCAGAAATGTCCTACTGTAGCAGGCTACTAAACAAGTGTTCAATTGTACCTTCTGCTAAGGCCATCCATCTTTTTCCCATGTTGATGAGGCCGACAGAAGACATTGTACTAGAGAGACTTGTTACTCACTTGAAGGGGCATGCTCGAGCATAGTTTAATGCTGACAGCACGAGTTCACATCCTCAGCACCTGAAGAGCTGCCAGACAGCAGTGCCTGGCACACACTAATGAGAGGAGAAAGAACACATGTGGAGGAACCAGCACTCTGAACGACATGCCCCACCAGGCAAGCTGACAAGTCATTAGGTCCAAGCGCCCCTTGGTGACTGTGATAACAGAAAAAAGGTCACAAGTGTGGTTCCTTATAAATAACTTTTGAGTGAGTTGGCAAGATCTTTGTAAGGTGCTGTGAACCTAAAGAGATAACCATAAACAACGTGAACGCCTTGACATGTTCCTGGACAACCTGCTCTGGGTGGACCTGCTTTGGTGCAGGGGCGGACTAGATGATCTCCAGAGGTCCCTTCCAACCCCATATCATTCTGTGATTGTGATAAAAACCCCACAGAGACAGTCAGATTTGTTGCCTTCTACACACCCTTCTACACACTTCTACTACACACATACTAACCCAGGAGTAACTACACACCCAGTTTTAAGATACTGGAATGCTCACAGCGATGCAGGCCCCACACTGCTCAGCTGCTGGTCTCCTGCAAGGCACCACCACCCCCCCAGCTTGCTTCAGAGCAGTCGGTAAGACAAACCCACCAGAAATGCCTTAAGGTTCTCTCATCTCTATGGACAATGGCCTGAAAGCACACCCTCGCTGTATCCCAGTCGGTATCCGACTGCACACGACGCCTTAAAGAGCCAGAAGGGTAAGAAACGAGCACAGTAAGGAGTCCAAGATCAATCCCGCATGAACATATGTCTCAAGGAACCAATTTAGTGATTTCTAGGAGCAGCTTGTACTACAGAGGAGGGTAAGGATTTGGGAGGAGCTCAGCAGAGAGACCGAGGCCGCGTGCTGGAAGTAGAACACAAACTTCCCAAAAATAACGTATGGGCTTGAATCTTCCACGGGATTTACATCCACTTGCCAAGGTGGCTAGATGCCAGCCAGCTCACACCTGAAATCCCTGTCCCCTGCTTCAGTACCGCACTGTGCTCCAGGTCTAATAAATCCCAGCTCTCGGCAGGGGTTGCTGGCTGAGGAACAACCCTGAGCTAACACGGCCCCCTTGTTTCCGTTCGGGTCTTGGCTTGCACCTGGCCAGCCCGGAGCAAGAGCAGAGACAGCCCACGCCAACTGCAAAAAGCACCCAACTTCAATACGTCAGGTGCTTTTCAAACAGCTTTGCAATGCAATGTGCTTGGTTGTTTTTTTTTTAACTGACAAACAGGATTTTTTTTAACCAGAACAAGCTGGAAACTAGCTTTGCAAACAAGTTTTGTCATCTTCGACTAGAGGTTTTATCACCTTCAACATCTTAGG